CTCGCATCGCCCGACCCGCTCCCGTTTGCGGGCGGCTGTTCAGGGCAACCGGCGGGTAGATCAGTGGGCGACTAGTGGGCGACCAATGGGCGACCAGTGAATGTGTCAGAGGGCACACACGGCGACGCCAAAAAAATAGTTAATGTATTTGTATTATAGTCTCTTTGTGACAAAAGTAAGCTCTCCTATTTAAGCAAATAGATAGTAGATGTATACTTTTTTTTGTACCTATCTCAATAGAAAATATATTTATTATTCTATATATGGATAGCTCAGTGGTATTTGTACCCCTTTTTGCTGCAAGCAGAACAGCTTTTTACAACAAGATTCACCAAAAAAAGGTTTTATTGTTTGGCTCCTTTTTCCAGGTTTTACCTATCATATGTTTTTATCAGAAAGTGTTCGGTCTTTTTAGCTTCTATTCTCATAACGATTTTCGTGCCTCTTTCAGCTGAAGATATCAACTAATTAGCCCCGTGATCTCGGTAAGCTTCGGATTTGTGCTAAGGCTGGAACTGACCAAGAGGTGGATATATGATGGCGGGCCTTCGAGATGAAAACTGATACATGAGCAGATTATTATTCTATCAGTTGGTCTGGTTGCTCCTCCTACCGATCGCCTGTAGCTGTCTTGACGCTACTCAGCAGATACATGACTGTCTCGGCCGACGACTATCCGGGCCCCGCGCATCCTTGGCGAGCTGGCCGGTGCCGAAACCCCTAAGCGTACGCTGAAGGGCCGGAAGAAACTACGCGAAGATCTTTGCCAGGCGTCTCAGCGCACTCGACATACTCCAGGACTATCCCGACGTCGATATCCCCTTCACTTCCTTCCTCCAGCTCCTCTCAAGTATGCGCATCTGCCGATACTTGGTTTCCTCCTCTCCGCTCCCCACCGCCACTAATGCCACGCTTATGACCAGCGTGCTCGAGACACCTGCGATATCTAGCCAGAGCGGGCCTTTCCTCGGCGCGGTCTCGATATATCTTGCCAGCCTCTGACAGAGCGATGGCGTGCAGCTCGCGGTGTGTTTATCAAACGCGGCGTCTCGTACGTCTGCAGGCCCGGCTGCGCCGGTAGCGGAGTATCCTGCAGCTAGTTATATTAAGACTATAGGCGGGACAAGCTCGAAGGTGTGGTGCGAATTCTGCGTGGAAACAATCTGAGTGAACTTAGTGTTCGTTGAAGGTTGCCATTGAGGATAATTACTTGCTGCGTAGAGACGTAGTGGTAATGCTACCACACTTTGCATATTTCCACGCATTGCAGAGCCTGACGGCATGCTAATCAATTGGCCATCCAATATTGTAAGCTCCGAATTTTTCTTACTGGCGTAAGTTACAATATCACTGTCGGCTTAGAACAGAGCATGCTCTAGACTCTAGCACAATAACAGACACTGGCTCACGCTTCAGCACTAGCCTCACGATGCTCTTCCTCGTCCACTCCTGGTGCGTCATCATCTTCGTCGCAGGATTCATCGCTCCAGCCACCCCGCGGCGTGCCGCCTATATTGCCCAGCCGATCTGCCGGCGTTCTAAACTGCAGTGTCGATCGTCCTTGTCGTCGATCACTCATGTCCATGGTGTAGTCCGACGTTGCCGACCCGGCCGTCCGGAGGTTAATCATGAAGCGGCTGATGAGCACCGAGGGCTGCGCGGCCGGTTTATGGGTACGAAAGAGCAAGCTAAACGTCGGCTGGTACGCACCATGTTCGTCGTTAGCGTGCCCACAAGCGATATCGCTATATTCTTGAGCTTGACATCAGCTATCAACCCCGTGCACGTGTCGGGGACGTACCGCAGAGTTGCCGTCCGTCAGCAGTTGGGTTATATTCATCGCTAGCAGAGCTCTATACCCATTGCGGCTTGTTAGATATCCTTTCTGACACGGATCTATCGTCACACTCACATGAAATAGAGAGTACCTGTGTAGGTAGCTAGGTTTCAGCAGCGCGAAACGTGAAGGCGCGCAGACAATTACTGACCATCGCGCAGCAAGCACGTTGTCAGTGATACCTTGATGTTGAGGCGACGGGTAGTCTTCCAATTTCCAAATGTCTTGATCCATGTTAGGACGAGCACGATGGTGTCGGCGAGGACGAGTGAGCCGCGTGTGATATACATGACTGTAAGCAGGCATCATCAGTGTTTCCGGCCTTTTAAAGTGATCTGACCTCAGAACGTACATCTATATTGCGAAATTTAGTTTTATCAAAGTCAAACGACGAGATTTGGGCACTCACATGTTGAATGTTCGCGCAGAGAACATATGCTCCTGGATGCATGTCATTCCGGCGAGCGGGTCTTGAAAGGATCCGTACTTCGACTCCACAATGTTGTACTGAACAGAGGCGTCAACCAGAGAATATAAGTGGTTTTAGAAGAGGTGGACCGCACCAGATTCGTCACGAACGGCACCATGCTCAGTGCGAATATCGTCAGTGACCAGACATAGCTTCTGTCCCCGATTGCAAAGACACGCAGGGCGGAAAAGACTAGTGTCTGAAAGTCAGCGACCATTTTTTGATTTGAGAAGACAGTGCGAGGCATACGTGCGACCTGGAAAAACTGAACGAGAGTGACTATCCAGCTCACGATTTCGAGTGGCGCGCAGCTGTGTGTCAGGATTCGGTAAGTAACCCGTTACTTATGGGCCCCAGGCAGGCTGCACTTACTCCTATAACAGATATTGTCACATATTACACGTAGTTAAAGGCAGAAGGCTTACATTCTGGGTTGCCGGAGCAAGTTCCAGGGCGACGGTGAGGAGCATACACCACCGTACAGAGCAGAAAAGTATATCGGTTGCAGTGACGGGTCTCTTCCAGATGATATTAATCTCATCACCCATAGTGATCAGGAATTCGTAGACAACGAGGGCTAAGAAGCAAATAGTGTGCGAGTGGCGCAACGGAAGCAAGGGATGCACTTACACGCGGCAGCTGCAGAGATATAATCACTCGTGGCGCTGGAAGGCGGGGATATGAGTATTGTGTCGTGAAGTGCAAACAGGAGTGATACTTGCAGCTGCGAGTAGGCCTGTACAAGAGCCTGGTATGATTGTGCCGACATATTAGATGTGGAGAAGCGTGGAGACGGGTTATGTTGAGAGTGGGCTACTACTTGTACAGATTATGAGCGAGTTGGCTGTCTGTCTGTCAGCATTTATATTGTGATTTCTTCCACATTTGCAACGTTTTCCGGTAACGTTTCGTGAATGATTACTAAGGGCTTCTGAAAGCACCGGCACTGGAGAGGCGGTGTGCGAACCTGTATATAGCTTGGCCTCGTCGCGAGCGAAGCCATACTGAAGCAGCAAAGAAGTCAGAAATTAATACTCTGATGCGCTGAAATGCTGTTAGTATGCTTTAGAACTGCAGAGACACGATTCAGTGCCATCCATGTTCCCAGCCAGTGCCATCTGCTCCGTTCATGTCGTGTCCGCAACTAGTTAACTCCCGCATGTGCAATCAAATTGCATCGCACAGCATCAAAGACTGTGTGATTATCCGATAGAAGAAGAAGCTTCCAAGCCTTCGACGTCCACGCCAGGATACAGGCATGATAGCGATAGCCGGGAATTGCCTCAAGAGAAGCGCTTGCTGAGTCGCGTCGCTTGTCGTCCGGAAGAGGAAGGCACTCTGGATTGGGGCATTATATTTGCATTCTGAATAGCAGGCCTGCTCGTCGCGACTGACACCAAGCATCCGCTGCGACCCTGTCGCGTCGACGCGTCAGCTCCGGCTCGCGGACGTGTAGATAGATAGATAATAAGGGACTTCCTTTTGCCCTTAGCCATCAACGTCGCGATCGCTAATCATCCACCCTGATTCATATTGAACGGCGTTCTTGCAGCACTTGGGCTTATTTGACAGCTGGGACTGTGCGGAGATTTCCAGGCTCTAGTGACCCCTTCAACGATCTCAAGCGGCGGCAGGTACTCCCCGACAATGCTGTGTGAAGCCGTGTCGCCGCAGAGGGTAGAACTGTTGTGGACGCCCGTACAGGCCTATCGGTGGCACTGTAGGTCTGTTACAGACCTCTATTTTCCGTGCAAGCACGGGTATCGCTCTGTTGTTGGCCATATCATAACGTGACATATTAACGGGGATTTAGGAACAGTGGATGCGCTTCTTCCTAGATATGAAAGAGCGAGTCACTGGCAGTTCGATTGGAATGGACGTAAGCTTCAGAATCGTGTGTGACCCCTAGCACTCATACTGAGGCCACTCATGGCATCAAAAATGGCCTCTTTCGCAAGGAAAATGGTTGCTAATCGTCATGCTAGCTTGGATGATGATGAAGCAGAACGGAGAGCGCAGATGAGAGGCGGGGACGCACCCTAACATGCCTTCTGGTTTACGAGGCTAGCCTTCTGGGATACGCGGTGGTGCCCCTTTTCGGAACAGTGATGCGAGCCAAGGCGCACCAGGTCAATGAAATGTCTAGCTCACGAAACTGAGGGTCGATGAGACAATGTGCCCGCCGAGCGCACTGGCGCAACCGTGCGACAGAGATCAGATAAGATACGACGGCTCAATCTACTTGGCACGTGATTCTTGCGTGCCGATGATGCCGAGTCTCGACAGGCCTATTTTAACCCGAAGAACCAAGCCACAACTTGAGTCAAGCCACAAGAGTCAAGCCACAAGAGTCCTACGTCCTTGCCTTTACTCTCACCGACAAGAAGGGCGCATGTAACATGCTCTGGCGGGGCAGGAGGCTGGCGAGGCTGGCGGGTAGCTCGCATCTGTGAATGCCGCCGAGTTGCAGCCGTTGTACGTGCTCTACAGCTCGAAAGCTTGTACGCCGAAAGGGTTAGCGTAAAGGATCACTTCTACCACCGCTTGCCAAGGTATTTCAGTACCTCAAATCGTCTGATCGCGGCTCATTTAGTACTCTCCTAGATCTCAGCGATACGATCTGTACGCTCGGCTCGGTAGCGGGGAATCTGCATACAAACTCAGATGAGCCTACAGTTACCATCATCGCCTCGTTCGAAGGACATCCCGCCAATAATACCGCACACTTGTTCGAACAGCTTTCAAGCCTCGTAAGCAAGGGACTCTAAGGAGGTATCATACGTCGTCTTCGGCTACAGCAGCCATGACTGAGCTCTGACATAGCAGCGCATCTCGACGTTATGCAATAACCTGCTTGCTGAGCGTGACACTAATCGCATCGTTCTTCGCGGCAAGGGAAATTCTGGCTCTCAGGGCTTCTTCAAAGCGTTCGAGATGTGGGAGACGGCGCTATGGGAGGGGCTTCACATGGTCCGTGTCTTCTTACTCTGTATTATGATGATTCGTCATTGAACATTCTGTCTGTAGCTGTATGGGACGACTAGTTCGGCGGAGCAAAATATGAGATACAAATCAAGGCTGTTGATCCGGGTGCTAACGATGTACTCATCCTCCGCAACCGGATACCGCCCTTGGGACTGCCAGACGGCACTCAAGA